TTTCAGTACAGGGCCAATGTGAATCTCAACCTTTACCAAACAATCTGCTGAAACATTGGGGTAAGCATGTACAAAAATTTCAAGAGCACTTGAGCATACAGCTGATGATACTCAAATTAAAAAAAAAATTGTACTGCGAAAATTTCATATTCAAAGCACCCACAAGAAAATTTAATTTGATTAAGCCCAAATAAACGCTGAATTTATCAGTCAAATATGAAACAAGCCAGAACAAAATTGTACAGTATACAAGTAAATCTTTGATTCAAGATAATCCTTGCCTTTTAATTTGTGGGAGATTTTGAAAAAATCCAATTTTGATTGAGAGAATTGTGGTCCGCATTTTACAGCACAGGGATATATATTCTTAAACACAGCTCATTGAGGTATTTATTGTAATAAAAAATAATTATGCAACAATTACCCATAGGTTTCAGTGAGGGAAGCAGGTGGTAAGGAACCATACATGGCACCAGGTGAAAATCCGTGGTGGCCTCCAGCAGTTGGTGTCGGCTGGGGAAGACCACTGACAGAAGAACTGCCACCCACAGATGTAGACGAAGTGGAGGATGATGGAGTGGTTGTAGGAGAGGTTGGTGGTATCTTGTTGGAACCAATTGTTGCCACTCCTTCTTCCAGGGGTGACAGTGGAGGTCGTATGGCACCTGGGTGGTGACCAGGACCTATACATATGGATAATCAAGAAAGGTAACAATTAGTTCCAATACTGAAAAAAATTCATAATTTTTATGGAAGCATTAATTCAATGCTTTGCTTTTTAAAAATATTCAGAAAAATTACGAGATGTCATCTGATTCACTATAAGAGGACAGAAATGGATCTACTGAATTGGAATAACTTAGGCCTAGCTAGTAAGAGTTTTCAGCAAAATATAGTATTTTACAGGCGAGTCCTACACGCGTAGACTCGTGAAATCTCTTTTACCCGGAGTACAAATTAGCACACACATGAATTAGATTAAAAAAGAGAGAAAATTGACTGGAAAAAAATTGGGTTATGGTACAGTATTTTGGTATCCAAATCTCACCTGGCGATGCTGGGGGTTGTAAAAGCTGGTTGGAACTATTGGAACCGGGTGGTGAAATACAATTTCCAGGTGAATTCTTCTGCTTCCTCAGCTTCTCCTCTCGGCGCCATTTTGCACGGCGATTGCTAAACCAAACCTGGAAAATTCGACATTGAAATTTAATCATAGCCAGAGGAACCAGGTGCAATGGAATTCCCAATCTATCGAAGTTTTCAGCAATCAAGATTTTTCTTGCCAACATTTTACTGCAATAATTTTAATGACACTGTTTCTCAACTCGATAAATTTCTTGCAATTACAAAAATTTTCAATCGAAATTTTCAGCAATGAAGATTCATTCTCCCAAAATTTTACTGCAATAATTTTAATGACACTGTTTCTCAACTCCATAAATTTATTGTAATCAAGAAAAAAGATCACTCAACAAACCTGAATACGAGCTTCGGGCAGTCCGATTTTTGCTGCCAGTCGTTCCCGCGCAAAAACGTCAGGATAGTGAGTCCGCTCAAATTCTGTCGGAATGAAAAAAATTGCTTATTAATCCTTGATTGAATCAATCAACAGAAGGATGAGGTGAAGGGAAATTTTCGAACCTTTTTCGAGACTTTCAATTTGATCGTTGGAAAACGACGTTCGATTTCGTTGAAGTTTTCGTTTCAGCCGCAATCTCGCATCATCAACATCCCCAAGTCCTGGTTCTAGTACAGACGCATCGTCCGGGAATTGATCTGTTTCTGGTAAAATAAATATTCATCATATAAATGGCTGGAATCGAATTTCAATCTGATAAATAAATCTTCAATTCGAGCAACCACGGCGACATTCGTTTTGCCAAGAGCTTCAGCGTCGTAGAAGCAGGTGACGGTCGGAATTCAATTCCTCCGAAATTCTGATTTCGAAAAAGGTACTCAAATTTTGCAGACTTAAGCGCAAAATATAAGAGAGGCTCAATGTCAACAATATTGGCACGCGAAATGAACCTTTCTCTCATTCCTCTCGGAACGAGATGAGTTCAATGAAGCATGAAGAAGGCATTTCGCGTCGCGTGACGTTAGATTGTTCAAGCTTCGACGATAATTTGATTGACACGTGGTAAAAAAAAAATAATATCCGCAGAAAAAAACATAATACGCATCTTCTCAATAATTTCTTATCTGCAAATTCATGTCTGTTTACAAAACCGATGACACAAGCATCACAGATAAACGTCGAAGAAAGCTACGTCTCGAAATTACGTCACAGAAAGGCTTCTTCCGCTTCAACGGAAGTCACGTGATCCTAACATATTGTCTATTTTTAGTCAAGCACATTTATACGTAATATATTCAGCAATAGCTTTCTTAGAAAACATCCGCGAAAAAAAAATAAAAAACAGACAAAAGGGCTCTGCACACTGTTTTGGCGAGCTATTCCAGAGAAATGACTGTCTACGCTCGATTTTTGCTTGCCCCTTGATCAAATATATTTAAATGCCTTTTTTGAATCATCAAAATTGTTCGGAAATGTAAACTGCGAAATCATGTATTTGAACCGGAATACCTGGGAATTTTATTGGAATTTTGATATTCTCGACGAAACGGTTGATCGTGGATCAGTTGGATAATAAATTAACGCATTGGTCAGCTCAGAAAACCGCTGAAAATCTTTTTCAGGTCCTTATTTTTAAGAGGTGTTCTGGAAACTTTCTATACAAAATTTTTTTTAACATTCATAAAATTGGGATGTTCGCCAATTTAGTTTAAGAACAATTTCGAAAAGCTCTCATAATTTAAAACGAGGTTCCAGGATTTTGTTCGAAGGTGCACAAAAAATTGGCGGTTCCTTAAGAAAACAAGCAGGAATAAAATGCAGTTTAAATATTTAAATTGAAATCGAATTTTTTTTTCGGAAATCTCGATGACGTGGGACTGCAGTACAGTACTGCACGAATCTGAATCAATGCTTCAAGAATTTCGAAAATTGGCTGCTTATTCTGCATTCCCCCAAAATCTCAATATATGCAGCCTTATTTTTAAAATATATTTTTTCTTAGCCCTAAATAACTGTGAACACAAACTTTTCACTAGTTTTTCGCTGAAATCCGCTTGAAATTTTTTCTGAAGAAAATACGTCTCATCCCGAGAAAAATGCTAAAATTGCGATATTGATGCTGATGATGATGTTAATTATTATTATTATGTCACTATCGTGATCGCAAGACAAGGAACCGAAGGCTACTCGAAAGCTACATGCCAAGTTCCGGCATGGAAACGGAAGCGGGGGTTTGGGGGGGGGGGGGGTATTTGCTGGAGCGTGATGGCGCCGATAAGCGTCGCATTTGGCCCACCCGCTTCCGCAAAACGCGACTTCATTTTCTCGCCCCCGTCATATTACAACATACACACATTGCATACNCTGGAGCGTGATGGCGCCGATAAGCGTCGCATTTGGCCCACCCGCTTCCGCAAAACGCGACTTCATTTTCTCGCCCCCGTCATATTACAACATACACACATTGCATACATGCAAGAATGCTTGCTTGCTTGCTTGCATGCATGCATGCATGCACACACAAAACGCCGTTGTCGAAGACATGAAATTTCTCGACAACCTCATCCCGTCCATTGTTTGTGGGGGAGGAGAGAAGCAGATAGGGAGGGGCCTTTTTTACAGCGGGGTTTCCTTCAAGTTCCTTTTGTTTCGGATCCCGGAAGTTGATACCGAGCCGGCGGAATATGAGTAAATATCTCGTGATTTTGTAGTTGTTTTCATGCTTTTTTTTTTTGCGGGAGAGGAAAATGCTGCTTTTCTTGCGTGAAGATAATGAATAAGGCATCTTATTCCGAAATATGGCACAATGATGCTCACCCGTTCATTTCATATTTTTACTTGCGTATCGGCCGCACTTTTTTTTTTACAAAATAACCTCGGATGCAGCCTATGATCAAAATGATGAATTATAATGTATTCTGAATTATGCCCGAGACTTGCTAATTTTCACCTACGGGAAATAATGCAGTTGAAGTCCCCTTCACATCTGGATTTCTCTAATCGTTACCTTTTGGATGCAGAAGATTGACTTTTTTTGTCTACTTGGTCGAGGGAGGCATATACAAGCTTTATTATCTGCCGCAGCATTAATTTCCCTGAATTCCCCACACATCCATTTAACACATTCCAGCCTATCGAAAAAAAAATCGATTATATACTGTATTTAACAAAATATTCAAACAGTGCTTCACAGCTGCATGAATAAAGAATTACCATTTTTGACGCGGTTTTCAAGAAGGATGAAACCCGCAGAATATGCCAATTACTTAGCATAAATTAAAGCGCAATAAGGTGTTCAACCAGTTTCCAGATCAGTTTTAATTGATTATAAACCACTTGGAAAGAATCTTTCATTGGGAGAAATCCTATAAAGCTGATATTTTATGGGTGTTCTTATTTAAGATTTGGGGAAGTATTTGTCTGCTTATCTAAAAAAGTAAGCATTTATACAACAAAGAATCGCTTTCATGAGGATTACTGTATTTTTCCGTATTTTTTTGGACAGCAACAACGGAATTCTTTTAGTAAGTATGGTAATATGGTAGAGAGCGCAAGTCTATTCCCCATGCAAATTAGTTTTTACATATATTTTGTTTTCATTGTCAGGGAATGAATGAGTGTATGCATATATGTCAGATGTCCAGTTGTATTTTGTGGATTGTATTTTCTTTTATTTTTGTTATCAATTTGTGCTCTGTTTCCTGCTCTGAAGTGAATAAATGTCATTGATTGGATTTGGGTTGAGTGGGAAGGGGGTTTGGTTATGGAAATCTTGATTGAACCTTGTGAATGTTGAAAAGCGGCAAATAAAGTGTTCTGTTCATTCATGCATTCAAGAAGAAGGAGAATTCTCTAAGCAGAAGCATAAGTTTTTTAGTGCAAAATCGTCTACCAGAGCTTTTTTTCAAATTATCTGGGATTTTCTTCCAATAGACAGCTAAAAACCTGTTGGTCGGCAATGAGTGTCGATTTAAAAGCGCTTTTTATTCAGGCAGGAAATAAAAATATTTTTGGCAAAATGTTGAAGCTCTTTTAAGCAAACAATGAAAAAATCGCATTGATTTTGTGAAATCTTGAAAATTTGTTATAACATATAATTTGTTATACTGTACCTATAATATGGAATAAACATTTTTACCATTAAATAATTCGTTATAATGAAATTCCCCCCTAATAATCTTGTGCCAAGCGTATGGCAGATCTCAGAGTGTTCATTATATATACATTTGGCATTGAAGTGCAAGTACTGCGACATGTTTTTTTTTTAATTGGAAACTCTTTTGTTTTCGAGACAAAGATTACAACGAATCCGTATATACCTGCACTCTCGAGGTCTGCTGGTTCAAAAATCGTCTTCTTTTGCTGTACAGTATTTCCTTTTGCCTTTCTGCTGATTTCGGCGAAGTAAACGGTAACCGATTTCCCGTGATTTGTTGGCAGTTTTCGCGATTATTTCAGCGCTCCCCGGGGTGGAACAAATGACGGAAATTGCATTATTTTTCCCGTTCCAAGGTGGGGACCACTGAGAACACCCGGTAGAATCAAAGGAGATGAAATAGCCGCGTTGCCGGACGTGTGGCTCAAAGGGACACGCGGACAATTGCTGGCGGGTGTAGCTCAAATGCCACCCCGACAAATGAACTCCACAATGAGGGGAAGGAGAATGAATATTATTGTACGGAACTTTTCTCATGACTGTACATAGCTGTATACATAGGGTGTAGTACTTTAGACCCAACTTTACCCATCAATATACAGAATGGTCCCAGCATCCATCGTCAATATGAAAACAATTGGAGCAACAAATTTTGATATTCATGGAAGAATAACTGCATGCTTGTGACTTACATTATTTACAGACCTAGGAGGGATTTATCTTCAATTTTCTGTAGCATTCACACACATAAAAAATGAGGGGAACTCAGAATCCACATATTGAACTGCGTGAAGACTGCCTTTCTGCTGGAATTACTTGCAATTTAATTGAGAGAAGAAAGCTTGCAGCTTTTTGAGAGTGAAGTGTGCAATACCCTTTGTTTAAAGCCTAGTAGTATTTTCAAAATTAATTACTATTTATATATTATGTAGGTGGTGCCCCACATTTTGACCCTAATCTGTTGGTGGGTAAGGGTCAAATTGTAAAGTGGTCAAATTGCAAGTCAATGTTGAATTTAATGGTTTCTACATCAAATTTGACATTTTGAGTCTTTGTGCAGGCCAAGTTGCAGGGCAAGAGGTCTAATTGCAAGTTGGCAACCTGGGAAATTTGATGGTCAAATTGGAGGATTTTGAATTGCAAGGTACCACTTGTATATTGACTTGAATATACAGTACTGTACTATGATGCACCTTTGAGGAAGATGTGCTTTTCTTTGAAAATTTGACAAAAGATGAATTCCCAATAAGTGATGAGATACGCATTAGAATGCAAATTCCAGGAATCATGAACTGAAATACTCAAAGAAGTACTGTATATTGATTTTTTTAATGATCTCAGGTTCAAATGAATGTTGAATTCAATTGCTTCATATCTGAGGATTCCAATTAAAAATATGGTACAGTAGTATGTTCCACAACTTAAGTATATGGTGATATGGTGTGAAACAGAGGATTTTCTGTAACACAGAAAATAAAATTTTGAGAAACTTTGTGTCTGGGTATGACAGGCAACCCATTTTTTTTCCTTCTTGAATAATGAAGGTGCGTTTGATATTAACTTATGAATATAATGAACAAGGTTCTCAACTATTTCCTGCACTGAAAAAGACGTGTTTTGTTATTTCAATTCATACACCATTGTTTTTGTTAGGATCTCTGGCAAGAGCTATAGTACAAAATCATACAAGGAGTTACACGGTTCCGCGCGGATCAGATTGTTAATTGATGCTGTTTTGCTGGGGCTTCAAAATTTAACAACTGAAAATTTAAAGACCTGTTAATTTCTACACACGGATCAAAACGGCTGAGAAGTTTGTACAAACTGGTGGCGATAAAATTCCATAGAAGTTTTCCTAACCTCTTGAAACTCTTGAACATGAGAAAAATTAGTTTTTTTTTTATCCCTGGCGTCCAGAGCACACCATTTCCAGTCAGTGCCAAAACGAGTCCGCGCGGAAACGTGTGACCCGTCTCTCTCTCTCTCTCTCTCTGTCTCTCTCTCGCATTTTCTAATTTACAAGGAACAGCGAGAATACACTCTTGGACCAAGCAAGCATCTTGACAAAAAGCCCCACGGACGGTTTTGTACCGGCACCCTCCGTTTTCGGGTAACGGGATGCACACTGAACCGAATCCGGCGCCGCAAAGCATCTTCCCGGAAACCAGCACTCAGTCAGTCCATCAGCCCGCTCCACCTCCGCCTCGACTCAGTGCTATCCTTGGCAGCTCGTGGCTCGGGCCTGAACCTGGCCACCTCAGGAATGTCAGGAATCCCTTCCATTTTAGTGCATGCTTCGAAAGTTTTAATCGAAGCTAAAGGATTTTATAATCTGGAAAATTCTGAAACCCGTTTCGGAGGGAAAGAAACAAAAAATTAGTTCCTGGTCGAGATGAAGATCGAGGAGACATTGAAACCGCTCGAGGAATCCATGTCCGCGAGCAGCAAATATCCTACCGGTGAAAATCTCACACGGAAGTGGTTTTTCTTTTATATAAATTTAAAATATTGCTGTAATAAAAAAATCGATTTGGTGGCAAAAATAAATGGCGAATGACCAAAAAAACAGCAAGGACGAAGTTTTGCCCGCCTTCGAAATCTAACTGGCGTGGGAAATTAACTGCCGATATTTTAAAATATTTGAATTGAATTACGGCACTGCCCTTCGAAAAATTGTGTCTGCGCATGGAAGCGATTTCCTTGATCTCATATGAAACACTCTATTTTTCATTCATAAAAATAAAACGGTTAAAAATGAACAAAATATAACATTGATCTGTTTTTTTTTTCAGTTCATTAACGCAAAAACAAATTTGATCACGCTTATGCGTGATTGAAGATGAAGTGACGTTTCTTCAGCAAATGCACTTTTAAATGTGGATTTTTCATATTATACACTTCAATAAATCTAATCAGGTTTTCCCCTAGAATCGAAAAAGTGATGGCAGAAATTTGAGAAAACCGGTGCTTTTAAATTATTCGGCTGTTGAAAGTTTTTGGATTACAAGTTCAGGTTTTGTTCAGATCGAGATTTAAATAAGTAAGGTTATTTAAATTTGTGCCTAGGAATGATGTAGTTCATCTGACTCGAATTCAATTTTTAAGCAATTTCTGGTCCAGAAAAATTCCTTCGCGATTTGAAATAAATATTGAAAAGTGTCATTCACTGGCGTAAAAAATAAATCAGGAAAAATCGAAAGCACCCAAAACTTGACACAGGTCTCTCATTCCTTCGGACTTTTAAATCGTGTGTGCTGAGATCGTGTCTTTTTCT